TTTAGCAGTAGTGTTATGGCAAAGACAATGTCATCAACAGAGCAACACTTGTATGTATCACTTGGTAAGAATTACGAAGACTGACCTCCGCTTCCACACGCCCTCCGCCCATAAACTACCACCTGGTACGATCGACGATGGGTAGACTTCGATATTAACGTTTTATGTAGACATTAAGTGTCAACACACTAAAGAGTTACACTGAAATCTACCACTCCTACCGCTATCATTGTGAACAACACAGGTTGATGAAGTCTTCAGATGTCTGTCGGCACCTTTACCTCTACCAAATGAATTCTGTGTATGTATGTATGTGTAGTGAAGTTACTATGTGAGTAATCTGCACTAAGTGTAGAGTATATTTAGGCTGAAGAAGTACACCGTCTGATAAATTCAGAATCCCGTAATAACCAAAAAATCATCTACTATGATATAAGTATAAAACTTGGGCACTAGGGTGGTAGAGTATAACTCCACTATAGATAAGATTTTATTTTGATAAATCACACAGTAGTATTAACTGATGACCACCTTTAGCGGACAAACTATTCCCACTCATAATCATATCAAGTCACTACTCCCGACCGAAAGCTGCTACCTTGACGTGGTGGTCGGGCTTGAACACCGCAATGACCCAACAAGATATACTGGCTGAGACTTATGTCGCTTGAGGTCCTACCATGCCAGAAAGGTTGTTTGGATAGCGGTTAGACAAAAAGCAGCTACCCAGTCCAGTACTATGATTCAAACAAATTTACAAAATATCATGCCGGATCGGTCGGGACCCGGAGTAACAATGACCGCGCTTCCTGCTGCCGTGTCACAGGACAGCCTCAAGCATTTGCCCCCTGGGCTCTGCGGTCACGCAACCAACTTCCACGGTGTGGGCAGCCGGGAAGTAACAATCGCCCTCACAATCCGAAATGCACACGAAACCTCTCTAATCCTGACTCATCTTTGTCTTCTTCTTCATCTCTGTTATCTTGCCTTCCCTCCACTGATGCAACTGCTCTACTTGATGGCTCTTCACTCTGTGTCCACAAAAACGACGGAAGCCAAAAAACCACCACCAATAGTCTCCTAAAGCCACGCCACCAATTTCATATCGGAGCATTTAATGTTAGAACACTTTGCCAAATAGGACAACAAGCATCACTGGCCAAGACTCTGGCGTCCCGAGCCATTGATGTGTGTTGTGTTTCAGAAACACGCATACAAGACCCAAGTGTGGTTATTCACCTAACCCCACCTGGCCAACAGGATGAATCTGCAAAATTCACCTTGAGGGTGTCAGGAGATGCCACAGCTAGTTCACGAGGATTAGCTGGTGTAGGGATAGCTTTGAGTACTAGGGCAGAAAAGACACTGCTTGACTGGATCCCGGTAGATAGCCGAATGTGTGCTGTCCGTCTGAACGGATCAGTAAGAAGGAGAAAGGACTGCACTACTCGCCGATGCCTTTTCGTAATCTCCGCCTACGCCCCCACTGACTGCAGTTCAGATGAAACGAAGGATGAGTTCTACCAAAAGCTGTCTAGTTTGGTGGAAAGGCTAAACGCTCAGACATAGTCGTTCTAGCTGGTGACTTTAACGCTCAAGTAGGGAAATTGTGTCAATCTGAGAAGGATGTCGGTGGCACCTATGGAGTTCCGTGCCAGCGAACCGACAACGGTGACCGTCTCCTACAGTTCTGTTCTGATAATCATTTGTTTCTTGTAAGCACTAACTTCAAACACAAGGAGAGACACTGTTTGACCTGGCGACCCCCTTCATCAAACCAACGCTGGACACAAATAGACCACATAGCAATAAGCTATCGTTGGCGTGGGTCGGTAGGAGATTGTCGCTCCTTCTGGAACACGTGTTTAGATACCGATCACGCACTGGTCCGCGCTCGTGTGTGCTTAGGACTGAACGGACGTAGTAAACAGCTGGCGGTAAACCCTTCACGTCCCCAGCTCGATCAGGAAACTAAATCCGTATTTGAGGAAGAACTAGCTAAACACATATCTGAGTTCGACAGCTGTGCTCACCCTGAAGAAGCTTGGAAAAATATTCAGACAGCCATAGATACAGCTGTAAAAGCTGTGAATAAGGTAAACCCAAAGGTGAGTAAAAACCATTGGATTACGACTGCCTCATCCGAACTGATAGATGCTAGAAGACTTATTCCGGCGAGCTCCGAATTCAATGAGGAGCGAAAGCTGCAAAAAAACAGCCTGACCCTATATCAGCTAACATTGCCCGTCAGTCGAGGAAGGCGATGACTAGGAATACGTAACACATGTCCTAGCCATCTCAACCGATTTAATTTCACAGCCTCGTCGATTGATTTCCTCTCCTTACCTAGAACTCGACGCCTAACCTCAATATTGCTCACCTAGTTATACCACTTCACACGGGAGATAGAGCGCAGGCACCTATGATCAAAGACAGCTAATCATTTCATGTCCTCTAATCTCAATGGCCGTGTGTCATTCACAGGCATGAAGGAGGACGGAGCGGACTGATGAGCGGTACACCCGCCCTTTGGTAGATAGTCGGATATCACGTTTGTGCGAGACACAGCGTAAACTGGCATATGCGAAACTAGCCTTCCGTATCTGTTCTGAGATTTCGTCAGCAATCAACCCGCAGGCGTTGGCTGATGGTGCTTCCCAAGTAAGTGAAGCGGTCAATGTGCTCTACCACTTCGTTTCGTATTTCTAATCTAGGAGGCAGTGTAGTACAATCCTGTAACATCATCTTCCATTTGGCGGGAGCGAATCGCATGACAAACATTCGTAGATTGCAGCTCAAGGTGTTTAGAAGACTCTGCATTTTTTCAGCGTCCTCGCCTAGAAGGACTATATCGTCTGCATATTCTAAGTCAACGAGATTATTCCCTGGTGGCAGCAAGTCGATCCCAGAGTCACTGAAGTGAGATAGGGTTAGCTCCATTAGTACATCTATGATGAAATTGAATAGAAATGGGGATAATGGGCATCCTTGACGGACACCATCCTTACGAAACCCAAAGGCGTAGTAGTACTGAAGGTAGTTAAAGTTCAGCTAATGTGAGATTCTCATGTATTTTCCTCATAAATTCCTAGATACAAGAGGCAGACAGTCGCATCACCTGCTCGTCCAATGTCACAGATATATTATCGCCTTTTAAAAGATATTAACATAAATCTTAGAATTTTTTATTATAATTTTTTTTATAGGTTTATAAGGATGATTGGACACGAGCAACAAACTCTTTCATTATGAATTGGACACCAGCAATCAACCATCAGTCAACTCTGCCTAATAGTAGCAGTAGTAGTGGATTAATTAAAACTGATGTAAAATCCAATTTCCCGCTGACAACGCCAACAGTACCGATACAATCACAACACCCTCAGCACAACCATCACCACCAGCAACAATCAATATCATCAAATATTGTTAAACAACATGAGCATAATCCAGTGAATGCGTTAAAATCTCATTCTCATTTGTAGAAGTAGCCCTTTTCTTTCCTTTCTATTGTTATTATTATTATTATTATATATGCGTACTGAACAAATCGTCTTTCTTGGCGGGTTTTCTTTTCAAACGGTGTTGTTAATTCACTTGATTTCTTTTGAATGAGAAGAGGTATTTATTACAATAAATATAATATTTATTATCTACAAATATTTTTTATTTTATTCCTTCACGTTCCCCAGTAGAACATAGGGCTTCAAGCTAGTGGCCTGAAGATTCTGTTTATTTTACAGGATGAGGTTGCTAGCCGGCCTCATGCCCAACCTTTCCTCTTTACCAGCTTTCTTATTTCTGGCTCAGCGAGGTAAAGGAGTGCCTCGTCGGCTGGGAATCGAACCCCGGACCATGTGCATAGTCGGCTAGCGTCCTAACCGCTATGCTACCAACGCAAATATAATTCTTTTTTACAAATGTCTACTTCTCACTCGGCGCCCAATTATATTTTAGAACTATTCTGTCAAATCTTGACGACAGACAGTTCATTTGATGAATTATTTTGCAATGGAATTAAATTAACAAAGAAACTATGCTAATTGGCACAATCATTGTGTTTTCATTCTCTGTTGTCTGCAACAGAATAATGCATATCCTAAATCCATAGCTGTCGAGTCACCTGACAACTCCAGTAGGTCGAATAAATCAGCTCAATTTTCAGAAAGAAGATAAAGTAATAAGTTTGACGGGGTGTATTTCAATTAAACTCTAATCCTAGACACCATAATTTTGAAAGTACGTCTAATCATAGAATTCTAGATGCTAACAGGTTGAACAAACATGAAGGTGTGATGTTAGCTGACGCGTAGGAAATCCTGATTAATAAATAAGAATGGATATTTATCACTAATTAATAATACTTAGTCAAAATTCCTGACTGTCTAGATCTCCTTATGGAGACGTTAAGAAATGTTTTACAACTGTTTATCCGCACACACACACACCCATACACACTGTGTTTAAAGTGTTTAACAAAGGTAGATCAATATTTGTAAGTCTTAGGCCAAATTTTGATCACAACTCATGCAATTTTGTTTATTATACTTGTTGATACCTGTTTCATGACTGATATGACTGGACAAAGAAATTAGAAACAAGAGATGTTCCTTTTCTGCATATAAACCTCTGTCATGTTAATTTCGATTAATTTCCCTGAAGAAGTTCGGACGAGATTTCCGAACGTGGGAAACGTCGGAATCACTCATTTCAATATCGCTGAGATTTTACACAAATATAATTCTTTTTTACAAATGTCTACTTCTCACTCGGCGCCCAATTATATTTTAGAACTATTCCGTGCGTCGGTGGCACAGTGGTTAGGACGTTCGCCGACCATGAACATGATCCGGGGTTCAATCCCGTGCCGACGCCACACTCCTTTACCTCGCTAAGCCAGAAATAATGCTGGTAAAGAGGAAAGGTTGGGCATGAGTCTAGCAACCCCATCCTGTAAAAATAATCCACCACTGCTACAGAAACTTCAAGCCACTGGCTTGAAGCCCTATGTTCCACTGGGAACATGAAGGGAAAATTAATTCTGTCAAGTCTTGACAACAGTTCATTTGAATATATATTATCCTCCTGGAAAAATATGTGTGCATGTTTACAAGTACAAAAAAAGTGTGAGGGAGGGGGGGAAGGGTGAGTGTGGCGGCGGAATAAACGTTATCAACAGTTGTTTTAACAGTGGTTAGTTGTCATTATTATTATTATTAATATTACAAAATTGCCCTATGCAATACTGTGCACATCAGTTACGTTTGATTAAACTTCCAACAGGAGGAATTGATGGCGGTAGTTGTTGTTGCTGTTGCTGCTGCAGTTGTTGTTTGACGGGTTCTGTAGTTGTAATCGTAGTAGTTGTAATAGTAGTACTGGTAGTAGTAGTCTCATGCGATTGTAGATTTATAGGCATACCAATATCCCATTTACTTGGTCTTTTTGGTTCTAAAAATAAACAAATACCAAAAATTTATTATTATTTATTTAAACGCAGAAAAAAAACTTGGTACAATATGGCACCAAGAAGAAATACATAAACCAGGACTTCCTTTCTTCCCCAGTCCTGGATATGTCAAACTCCACCACCTACCATGCAATGGCAAAGTGGGCTAGGTGTGAACCCCTCCAACCGTTACACAAGATGGTAGTAAATTATTAGTGTTAAAGAGGTTTTTAGAATTTATTGCTAACGTGGATGGGCGAAGTTTAACTTTCGACACCACTAACTACCAATCAGCGAACGACGTTGAATTATCCAATGAGATTCACGAACGTAGTTCAATGTTGTATAGCGCTTGATAATTCATTTCTAATGCGTGACCTTACAAGGTTGCGGTTGCAATTCGAGGAGGACAGTGTTTTCCAGTATTGTCTGGATTTAGGGTTGCTCCGGAAGGAGCGAACTTGTTCGTGTGGTGGTATATCCTTGTAACAACAGAAGACAAGGGCCAGACAACAGATCGTTTTATTACGGAAATCAACACGTATTTATATAAATTTCACATACATTATTATAGCCTAGTCAAGTAGACAAACGCAGTCTTCTGATTGGTTGTTTTCGAGTTCTTCGGAAAGTGGAGCCATCTATCTGCGAATCATATTTGCCCACGTTTAAGTTTGGTGTGATTGGTTGTTGAAACAGCCTTGTTCATATTTTCTCACGGCCCATATTAGTGACCTAGACATTGACGTAGATTAATGTCAACCTATTGGCTAGCAGGCTGCTCTCATCACATCATGACTTTAAAAAGCTATAGCAGATTAACTGATGGATTTGTTCATCGTTGTGCTATATGTTTGAAGCGTGCTAACATTAGAGAGGGTAAGCAGGTAATTTTAATATTTCGTAGGAACGTTTTTCGCTAGGTCGCTTCTCTCCCTAACACAGATTTTGTATATCTGCAACTACTGGGTGTTGAAACAGCCGGTGAGAGCAGCAGCTGTCGAAACGGAGAATAGCCTCGTGTCAGCAGTTCAGTGGTACCAGCATTGCAGAGACATTACTTCGTGGAAGATAGAGAAAATCACTTGTTTGTTGGGTGGATCCCGTTACGAGGACTCATACGAATTCCATTGAAGGGTTTTGGGGTCGCTTGAAAAGCAGGATAAGGGCTATAAATGGATCTCAAAAGGATCTCACTTATAGTCATTTAGATGAATATATGTACAGGATGTGGCATGACTTCTCCATTGACAGTCACATGCTAAACTGGGAGATGTTTCTCTCACATGTTCGAGAAAGGTACCCCTTGTAACCGTTTTACCCTTTCTTTATGCTTTTTTCTATGAATATACGTTTCCATTTACCATAAATGCCTCTTTAATGTGATTGGTCCGTCTGCTGATTAGATGTTAGTGGTGTCGAAAGTTTAACTTTACCCGTGGATGATATCAATGTAAATGGAAAGCAAATGCTATCCTTAGATGTAGGTAGCCTCACTGTTTACCAATGTACCACTTATGGAGACTGTGAAATTCATAGCCCAACTGATACTAGAAGTACAGTTCGACATCGCAATTCCAGTTATTAGTCTGAAAGAGTTGCTTTTAAGATGTACTATGAATGTACACTTCACATTCAACAACCTTTACTACAGGCAAATCGACGGTATTGCCACGGGTGGTTCTCCATTGGGGCGAATTTCGGCAGATTTCTTTCTTGCCAAGATTGAAAATAGTCCATTGAGACAAGTAATATAGATAAAACTGATTCTTATTTTCGTTATATTGATGATACGTTTATTATTCTCGATGTGAAAGCTGACAAGAATGAAATGTTAAAAAAGTTTAATGATGCACATCCATCGCTCATCTTCACTTGTGCAGAAGATGAACATGATGGTAGACTACATTTCCTGGACGTCCAATTGAGCAGAAGAGAGGATGAGTCACTCAAGAGAGATGTGTCTATAGAAAACCTACATACAATACTAATAAAACAATATAAATTAAAAGTAAAAATATACGTAGAGAAAGGATAGAGAACTTCATCTGAAAGGAAAACAGTCATGCTTAACAAGTTCAAACAGTATTCGTCAACTATCATCGGGGAAGGTAAGAAAGAAGAAGATTGCAACACGTTCGCCATTGATTACGATTCTTGGCCATATCCGATAACGTTTCGAGCCATCGATTTGAGCTATCTCTCGGACCCCAACCAGGGATACGTGACGCACCAACCGATGCTAATTTAGCACAAAAATCCTTCATCCCATGAAGCCACGTCACGGACTGACCACCCCTGCGCCTTTTCCATCCTGTCCCAGGGCTAGCGAACAGAGACCTGTACGGAAGCCTCTGGGATGACATTCCCAGCACATGTCCAAGCCACCGGAGCCGGTGTTTCCAGATGACGACACTCAATGAATGGTGATCTCCACTGTGTTCAAACACAAACACCGTCGAACCTCAGAATTACTCACGCGATGATGCCATCGAATGCAAGCAATCCTGCGGAGACGGCGATGATCCAACACGCAGAGCCGCCCCACATCCTTAGCTCGGAGAGGCCAGGTTTCACAGGCGTAGAGCAGGGTAGCCCGCACCGAAGCATTGTATACCCGACCTATGACAGCCAGGCTAACGTCGCGACGGTGCCAGAGGTGGCAGTTCAAGTTGATGTATGCCACCCTAGCCTTCATTATACCGTTGGAAATCTCATCCATCACCCCTCCGTCAGCAGTTACACACAACTACGCAGATACACAAACTTATCAAGAACTTCAAGCGGTTCACCTGCAAGCAAGAGTGAGTGCAGGTACAGGCGCTCCTGGCAACCTTGTAACAGTACTTTGCACTTAGACGGCACAAAGTACATACCATACTTACAGACACTGATCGCCAACTGATTAAGTGCGATTTGGGCAGCTTGCATGCTATCGCACAGTAAGACGATATCGTCTGAATACTCGAGGTCGAAAAGTCTGTCTCCAGGTAGCAGATCTTCACCACCTTCACACACACATTCTTCAGAGCTGACTCCAGAATGTCATCGATGGCAAAGTTAAAGAGAAATGGAGAGATTGAGCAACCCTCTCTAACCCCACTGTTGGTTGGGAACAGTGATGATAGTTGGTTGGTTGTATGCCTTCACTCTACCTGAGGTGTTAAATCGAAAAATGTGTACACACTTGGAGACAGTAGCAGTAGAGACATGGAAAAAGCAGTTGTTTTCTGTTACATAAAATCTTATTACAATTTCTCTATTTCTATTTTTTGCCAAAATAATAATGTACACATTTAACTCGAAGAGACACAGAGAGAGAGAGAGAGATACACGTCAATGATCTACTCTTTAAGCTGTGTCGTCTTGTTACTTTGTGAGTAACGCATTAGTGTAGCGCTTAATATATATATTGTGGCGAGAGCTGGCTGCTAGCCAAACTGATAGAATAAGAATTTTTTTATTTTCCTGCACGTTCCCAGTGGAACATAGGGCTCCAAGCTAGATGCTTGAAGTTTCTGTAGCAGTGGTGATTATTTTTACAGGATGGGGTTGCTGCTGGCCTCATGCCAAACCTTTCCTCTTCACCAGTCTCACTACTGGCTTAGCGAGGTAAAGGAGTGTGGCGCCGGCCGGGGATCGAACCCCGGACCATGTGCATGGTCGGTGAGCGTCCTAACCGCTATGCCACCGACGCACCAAACTAGAATAAGAATAATACGTTAATATTTACGTCCCCAATATTGACCATGAGAAAAATAAGAAGAAAGACTGATTCAACAACCAATCAGAGCAGACTTTGCGTAGGTGGATACAGTTAACATATAGATGATCTGACATTCAAGAAACAGTCACAAAGAGATGCAAGGTTAACTTTCAGTGAGAAACAATCAATCAGAAGACTGTATTTTTCTGCTAATAATAATGTACATAAAAATCTATAAATATCTGTTGATTTTCTGAATAAACGATCTGTCTGGCCTGGCCGTTGTCTTCTGTCGTTACAATAGTACTGTTTCTCACAGCGTACATATGCACTATTATTATAATCCCCTTGGGTTCCAAGTGGAACATAGGATTTCCGCGGCATATCTCCATTTAATCCAGTTTTCTGCATTTGTCTTAAGCTGATTTCAAGATTGCCTTTAAGCTCTGATCTCCTCTATGTCACCCTTGGACCCAAGACCAACTTGTTTCCCATTACGGATTCTTTAGAGTGCTCGCCTGGCATTTCATGTCACACGACAGTCTCCTCAGTGTGTGGCCGATCTATCTCCGTTTTCTTCTACGTACTTGTTGAGCGATAGGTTGTTGGTGTTGGTTCGGCGGTCTGCTTTGAATCATTGGGCTACCTGAATTTCCATCCATCAAAATTTTGATGGATCAAACTTAAACTCTTCTGCACTTCTGAATTGTTTTAATTGTGTAATTATATCAGGTGACGAATATTTGAACTCGCGCGCGTATTTAACTAGTTTGCCAGTATATGCTGTACAATTTTCGAAGGAATTGCAGAAAAATGAATGTACAGAATCGGTTGTCTCCTCATATGCAGCAACAACACTACAAGAAATGATGTACTTCAGCACTCAGTATGAAAAATAAGATGTGGATTTTCAACCCCAATGTAAAGTCAGTGCTACTTACTATACGGATCAGAGTCTTGCCGCCGCCTCAGGAAGGCCACTTCGAACAAGCTACACACCTTCATCAACAGCTGTCTTCGCTCAGTACTTCGCCCAAGACCAGATGGTCAACCAGGAAAGATCAGCAACAGAGAGTGATCTCTGGCAATGAACAAACCAACTCAGCAGGAACCAATTGTGTAACAAATATGCAAGAAGAAATGGAGGTAGGTGGATTGGAGGCCATACTCTGAGAAAACAAGCCATTGCTCGAGTGGAAGCCGAATGGGAAGAGGCGAGTCAATTAATCATCAGTGAGAGGATGACATGGAGTGGAGGAGGTTATGTGAAGACGTTGGCAGAGAGAACCGAATGCA